ACTGTACAAAAAATTAACTGATGACGTAACATTTAGGTTATATGTACGCTAGTTATTGCTTACACGTACTAGAAAAAGTTTTTTTTTTGTAACTTGGTCGGAATTATTTAGGTGTTACTCCATAGGTTTTGAATTAGTTGTTGTTCTAGGCTAAATTTTTTAATTTCATTTTAATTGTCATTTTGTATTTTTAATGTAGATTAATGATATATTTTCTATTTTTATCCATATTCTTTTAGATTATTAATTCTTCATATCAAACAAATGAATATATTAAATAGGGATAAAACAAAAAAATTTAATTTATTTCTTAAAATGCGTAAAAAAATCTAAAACGACAAGTAAAATAAAACAGAGAAAGTATTAAATATAGAATTTTGATGCGATCGAGATTACTTTTGGTTCATGGTGCTCACGTAATAAATTACTCCATCCATTTCTTTTAGTTATGGTTTTAAAGTTTCCCATGCATACTAAGAAAATGATTAAAGTTATTATTTAAACTCTAATTAATATTTTGGTTTAATTGATATGAACAATTAGTGAGTTAAAAAAGTATGTATAATACTGAAAAAAATATATGTGTTGAAAATACAAAACAACAAGTGATATAAAACAAAAAAATTAATTCTAGAACGATAACTAAAACGAAACAGAGAGAGTAGTAGTTGATCAGTTTTACTACTTCTTCTGTTTTGTTTTAATTGTCGTTCTGGATCTAATATTTGTTTTGTTTCAGTTGTCGTTTAATTTTTTCAATGTAAATTTATGATATATTTTCCAAAGCTCTTCCTACTTTTTTACCTTATTAATCACCCATATCAAATAAAACAATACATTAAGTAGGAATAAAATAATAAATATAGTTATTTTCTTAATCTACACAAAACAACCTAGAATGATAGAATGATAACTAAACTGTTGACAAAATAAATGATAGAATGATAACTAAATAACTATATGTCTAAAAACAAAGGAACCACATTCAAAATATCGAAGCAGGCAAATAAGACACAAAATTGTCTTCTGCTAGATGGAAAAGGTGCCACTCCAAATGGTTTCTTACCTAACAAAAAACTATAAAAAAAAATGAAAAAAAAATGAAAAAATTTAGATCCAAAATAATGAACCTTACCAAACGATATTCGATTACTACAGTTTATAAACCAAAAACTAAACACGAAACTGATTCAACAAAAAAACGGATTAGGCATCAGTAGTTCACTTGATCAATTGTAAACTCACCTAAAGCATAAAGTTTTAAAAATCGAATGGGCATAAAAACCTGTCGAAAATCTAATGGAGACAAGACAAGTCTACTAGTAACAAAAACCCTAGATCCTGAAGTTTTCCAGAACATGAGCATAATTATCATTTAGGCTTCAAATTACAAATAAGATTCAATCATGGAGGAAAACGGTAATGAAATTTATGGATTTAGAGAGATCTAATATAACAAATCAAACAAATACAAAAACTTTTAAAACCAAAAAGAAAAAAATATACAAAAACTTTCAACACAAAAATAAACGCAAACTCAAAATTCTATGTAAATCAGATCTGGAAATTGGATCCGATTATCTTGGTGCAACACCGGAACTGATTGCTCACAAACCAACGATGGCAAACCATGTGGTTTCCCGAGTTGCACCAAGCGAATTTATCATCATCATCATATCTCTCTCTTTTGCCTCTCTCTCTCATTGGGAAAAGATAAAAAGAGAAACGAAAGAAACAGTTGACGGCTAAGATTTTGTTCTCTATCAGAATTAGGTTTATTAGTTGATTACATTGGTCTCCTCAGGTGGGTATTTAAAGGAAATTACAGACCACAAGATATCAACACGTGTTTTATTAAAAAGTCTTATCGTCCACACACTCGTGTTTCTAGACAGTCCACACACTCGTGTTTCTAGATCTGTCTGAATCCTAACCTAGATTTGAGTAAAAAGGGATGTAAATATCTTTTTGAATAAAAATGGTTGTAGTAATTGAATATTGGAGTTATATTCTGAGTGAAGGAAATAAATAAAAAATTACATTGGTATGGTATAATTGCATTAAAAAAAAAGGAAATTGTAACAGATAACCATAAAAAAAAGTAAAATTCACCAAATAGCCATATTAATGTGTGGCTAGAGTATTCTTTGTATAATATGTATTAATGACTAAATTATCCTTCTCTTCTTCTTCTTCCTCTTCTGAAATTCGAACAATTGATTTCTCAATTCTCAACAAACGTGAGATCAATCGCTGTAAGTTATATCAGATTTGATTCTGTTACACCTCTTCCAATCTTGAACCCCTCATTTCAGAAAGAGCATCTTCGATGTTTTTCATAAACTCTGTTTTCTTCCCTAAACCATTTTCATGTCTTTTGCTATATTGTCATCAGCTACGCTCTCTACTTCTTCTTCTCAGTCTATCATCTTCAATCTCCATTCTATTTATTTTTCTTCCAAAAATTGTATGTTATCAATTCTTAAGCGTTTATGTTCATCACGAAATCTGTTGGGGACTTGACCAAATTCTTTTTGTGGCATAATTACTGAGACCCACAAAATTGTTCGACGAAATGTCACAAAGAGATATTGTTATGTGTAGTACTATGATTGAGAGGTTAAGATCATGAATTTCTCTCTTTGGTAGAGAATTATTGTGGGTTAAGAAGAAATATGATCCAAAAGAGCATATTGAATGGAGATTGAGATAATTGTTGTTATACCAGAAAAGCAATTTATGTAACTATTATTTTGGAGAACAATGTTTCCGATTTCAATTGAGAAACATGTACTGTAATTCTGGATTAACCAATACTATTCTACTATTCTGTTTTTATCTATGTAAAATAGACTATAGCTTCAAGGGTAATCTTGACCAGAAAATTTGGTTTTGGTTAGTCACTCTATATTTGATTTTGTAATGGCTATATTCTTCATTTCAGTCCCCAATATGATTAAATAGCTAATTCACCCTAAAACAAATCAGGTACAAGATGTTAAAAAAAAAGCACTCGACGGAGTTTGAAGTATGAGATTTAGGGAATTATTATATGAGAATAAAATGCATGCATGGTCGGAAACACATTATGATTCAAGCTCATAAATCTCGAATATTGTTTCAAACTTTCAATAATTCTGGGTTTAGATAGAAGTCACTCTGGGTTTCATTCTTAGTTTTAAAATGAAAGCCAAAACTTGATTGGTATAACATTAGTGTATTGAAAATAGCTTGGAAACTTAGATATGTTTAATCTCCATTTACTTAAATGTAATATTTTTTCGGTTTGACACATCTTTGTCTTTCACACATTTTGTTTTGCAGAAATCTTAAACTGGATTATCTTGATCTCTACCTGATTCATTGGCCGGTGAGCTCGAAACTAGGTAAATACAAGTTTTCCATTCAAGAAGATGTTTTTTTGCTAATGGATAATGAAGTGTTGAAATTAATTGAGTTTGGTCTTAATATACCTAAGTTAAGATATGTGTGTATTAATCGGTGTCTTGTAAAGTCACAACTCTTTGGTTAGATTGTGTTATACACAAGATGAAGAAACAAAACTATTCGTTGTGTTTTGTCTTAGTATATAACACACTGTAACATGTGATGTAACACATCAAGTTTTAGATAAACAAAAGTGTATATTTCGTACTTCTTGTGTTTTTCATAAGTGATGAGATAATTTATCTCTTGTTCTGTTTTGTTCTCTTTTTTTTTTCTCTTTCTTACTCTTACTCTATTTCAAAATCAAAACTCTAACATATATAACCACTACAATTGTGTTTGGTATCACTTTAAGAAAAATGATATTACATCAATTAGATAATCAATGTTTTTAATATTATTTGTTAACATCACTTACAAAAATGATCTTAATGCTATATCAGCCAAAGATGAAGCTAAATGAAAGTACACTACAAGAAAAGTATTTTTTAGTGTCGTTTATCTTGTATCATTTGTTAAAAATGATGTTAACTTAAAAATTAATCAAATTAGAAAGCATCATTTGTTCAAAATGACACTAAAACAAAGATATTTGTATCATTTTACTTACAAATGACACTAATAATTAGTTTTTAATATCATTAAACTAAAAATGACACAAAGAAACAATTTTTAGTATCACTTCTAGGTAAATGATAGAATAAACAGTTTTTTGTATCACTTATAGGTAAATGACACAAAATAATCCCTATTTTTAAAAATGATTAAAGATGGTTTGAATTTAAAAAAAAACAAATGCCGTTGAAACAGTAAAAGAAAAAAAATCAGAAAAGAAAAAAACTTCTCCTCTCTTATCGCGAAGCTTCGCGATCAGCTCGATCTCGGCGAAGCTCTAGATCTCCGATCAAATCACCATCACCGAGGTCACCGATCGCTTAGAACCTTTCCCATCATCACCATCGCTGATCCCAGAACTCATTAATTAGGTATGGCTGAACTTATTTTGAGATTTTGGTCTAATTTGCATACTTAGTGATTTTGCTTGTGCTTTTGGTCTCGAATTGTGGAATCGATCTCTATTTCGTGTTCTATTTGCTCAAATTTCTCTTCCTTTTAGTTATTGTTGAATCGGAGTCGACGAATTTCTATTTGCTCGATTTGGTTTTCCGGTGTATATTGAGTTTTTCTGGGTTTTAGGTTCTAGACGAGAAATTTTGACAATCACGCTTATGTTGGTGTTGCCGTCACTTGATCGATTGTTTTGACAATCACGCTTCTCTTAAACATATATGTTTCTCATTCTCGTTGCTCTATTGAATTTGAGATCCCATTCTCGTTGCTCTATTGAATCATCATTGTGTATATAGATGATTTCTGCCTTTGGATGATTGCTACTGAGTTTGAGATCAGTAGATTTCTGTACATTGGATGATTTCTGCCTTTGTTCTGTAGATTGCTGTACTTTGAATTTTGAGTATTGTGTTTAAAACGCAATTCTGACATTTCTCCATGAATGGCCATTTTGAGTTTACTGAGTAGATTGATGCCTTTGGATGATTGCTGCCTTTGTTCTGTACATGATTTTTGATTTCTTTGTGATTGCTGCCTCTGTTCTGTACATGTGAGTTGTGATTGTTGTCATTGTTTTAATCTGATAGGGATAGTATTGGGTTGTGATTGTTGTCATTGTCTTCTTGGTATGAATGAATCTTTGCTCTTCAGCTTCTTGGCGTCTCTCTGTCTCTTTTCCCTCTCCATTTGCGTTCTCATAGATCCAGGTCGTGTCCCTGCATCTTATGCTCCTGATGTTGAGGATTCAGGCCGGTCCCATAGTAACGTAAGCTCCCTGTTTTCCTCTAAATTTTGACGCATTTGGGGGATTTATTGGTTTGTATTGAAGTTTTTCTGAAATGTCTGTTTGGTTTAGGTTCTTAGAACAGGATTAGACAAGGGCTTATGTTTTGTTGATATTTTGAACCAGTAGCAGTGATAAACCCGTGAACCTTTAGGTCTTGTCTGCTGTTATTTCGAATGTCACTTATTGAGCTGAGGAACAGATTCTTAGTTGTTGAAGAATAGATGAAAGTCAACGCCTTTTTCTCCCTTGGTGTTAAAAATAAAGGTTTTAAGCTTTCTTATTAGGCTACAGAATCAAGGAAATGTGACAAGTGCTTTGCGTATAAGCCTCCTCGGACTCACCATTGCCGAGTTTGCAGAAGATGTGTCTTGAAGATGGTTGGTAAATTTTAACACTTTTAAGTCCTAGCTTCACCAGACCTTGCGTTTGGAATTATTTATGTGAACGTTTATTTTTCAAATGTACAAATGTGACAGGATCACCATTGCCTTTGGATAAATAAATGTGTTGGTTATGCAAACTATAAAGCTTTCTTCCTTGTTGTGTTCTATGCAACAGTGGCTTGCATCTACTCCACAGTACGTTAAAATCCCATCCTTTTTTTTTGTGCAAATACTTAATTTCATTAATCTCAAACCGGTTCACTACAGAAATTACGCAAAGCGTTTTTTGCTAAACCATCCGCCTGACGGTTCGCTTCTCTTGCGACATGAACAAACGAAATTGAATCGAAAACTAAGGATAGATCCAGGATATCATGTAGAATCCCGTGGAGCTCTTTTGAGGAAGACTCCTTGTTGATTGCTTTGATTAGCTGAAGCAAATCTGAAGCTATTGTGATTGTGTTGATGCCGATATCTCTTGCTCGTGTGAAAGCCATCAGCATCGCCATACCCTCTGCCATCACTGGTGATCTGATATGGCTTGTTGCGCCTTCTCCTTGTTGAATGAGTTCCTCCCGTTGATCCGGCATGGTGTTGTAGAAGACCCAGCCGAATCCCGCTGATTTGTTGTCTCCTCTCCACGCGGCGTCGGTCTTGCATGTGGTTCCTCTCCGATTTCGAGTCAGGTTTCCCCGACTAAAATCTCTTCTTCCGGCTTGACTCTGGTTTTGTTCCTTCCGTTTAATTTGGTGTTGTGCGCTTTGCCATTCTCTTGCAGCTACCAGTGCCTTAGTCAGCGTTTCCTCCTGTGATTGACGACAATTTTCGAATATCAATTGGTTTTTTCTCGCGATCCATATTGCCCACACGATCCAAGGGAAAATTGGGCCTTCTCCAATACCCGTCGGCGGCAAGCAGACTATCGAAGGTGAGAGTTCCAAACCTGCCTTAAATGTATCAATTCTCATTGGCTCTATTTGCTCCTTACTCGGAATCTTCCTCCAGATTTGGGCAGCATATGTGCAGTGAAACAACAAGTGTTCTGTGGTTTCTTCTCCACCACAGTGTGGGCATATGATGTTGAGATTGATGTTCCTTGCCCTCAGGTTTTCTCCCACCGGTAGCGCTCCATTCATCGTTCTCCACATGAGCATTTTGGTTTTCTGGGAAGTGTTCACCTTCCAAATGTTCTTTATCCAGTCGAAGTCTTGTGTTTGGTTCTCCAGGCCCTCACTCTCTTCTTCACTTGTTTTCAGGGATTCATAGTACCCTGATTTTGCTGAATAGATTCCAGACTCCGAGGGTGTCCAGATGTATTTGTCATGTGCTCCCAGTTTGCTAGGTTGTAGCTCGAGTATTTCATTTTCATGTTGAGGTATGATCTCTTGTAGTTTCTTTCTGTCCCAGCTGTTTGTGTTAGGAGAAAGAAGTTCTGCCACTAACATGTCTTTTGTTTTCTCCGATGGGGGTCCCATAGGGCACGCTTGTCTGTCTAACGAGATCCATGGTTCGCTCCACACTCTTGTGGTTTTCCCATCCCCGATTGCTCGTCCCACATGCGGTTTCAGAAGGTCTCGGCCCACACAGATGCTTCTCCAACCATGCGACACTGTGCTTGGTAGTGCGCAATCCATAAATCTCCCATCGTGACAGTACTTACTCAGTAATATCCGTGCCAGGAGGCAGTCGGGGGATGTTAGGAACCGCCAAGCCACTTTTGCCAGTAGCGCATTGTTGAAGTTTTGTAAGTCCCTGAAGCCTAGTCCTCCATCTTTTTTAGACTTTGTGAGCTTTTGTCATGAGATCCAGCACATTTTCTTCGTCTCGTCGTTGCCATCCCACCAGAATCTAGTTAGGGCTGACTGTATACGCTTAGTTAGCGAGACTGGGAACTTGAAGCATGTCATTGTATACGTTGGCATTGCAGCTAGAACTGACTTTAGCATTGTTAGTTTTCCCGCAGGTGACAATCTTCTTGTGGACCAGCTCTGAGCTTTCTGCTTGACTCTGTCCACTATTTGGCTAAATAGATCTTTCTTTCGCCTTCCAAAGTGTTCAGGCAAGCCTAAATATTTCCCGTTTCCTCCTTCTTGTTGTATCTCTAGAGCATTTTTGACTTGTTGCCTCACTGCTTGGTCGGTCTTCGATGAAAACGTTATTGCTGACTTCTGTCGATTTATTTTTTGTCCCGAAGCTTCCTCATACTTCCGGAGGATGGAGAGTAGTTCTTTGCAACTCTTTGGGTCAGCTTTACAGAATATCATTGTATCGTCAGCGAACAACAGGTGGTTCACTATGGGGCTTCGTTTGGATACACGAATCCCAGGCAATCTTCCTTCCACTTGTGCTCTATTACACAGTCCGGAGAGGACCTCGCTACACAAGATGAAGATATATGGTGATAGGGGGTCTCCCTGGCGGATGCCTCTAGTCGGAGTAACTGCCCCTTGCGCTGATCCATTAATGAGGTACGTGTAAGAGACTGTTGTTAAACACTGCATCACCCATTGGATCCATTTGGGATGGAATCCAAGTCTCTCTAGTACTAGGCGAACAAACTCCCACTCTATTCTATCGTAAGCCTTTGTCATATCTGACTTCACTGCCATATACACTTGTTTCTTTGCTTTTGATGTCTTCAGGTAGTGTAGAGTCTCGTGTGTGATGAGCACATTGTCTGATATAGCTCGTTGTGGGACAAAAGCAGATTGATTCTCTGAAATCATGCCATTGAGAACCGGCTGTAACCTCAGGGTAAGAATCTTGGATATCATTTTGAAGTAGACGTTGCACAGCGCTATTGGTCTATAGTCCGCTACTTTCTTTGGACTTGTGACTTTTGGAATGAGCCTCACATGCGTCGCATTGATGTTCTTTGGCAGGATCCCCGTCGTGAAGAAGCTCTGTATCTCGGTGATGATTTTACTAGAGACCGTATCCCAGTTTGCTTGGAAGAATCCAGCTGAGAAACCATCAGGTCCTGGAGCCTTATCTGGGTGGATTGCAAAGCATGCCTGTTTGATCTCGTCTGGTGTCGGGATAGATGTCAGATGCGAGTTCACGTCATCTGAGATACAGGGCTTGAGAGCCTAAGCCACTGTTTCTCTTCTTTCCCCTTCTTCTGACGTAAAGAGTTTATGGTAATACTCAGTAATGACTCTTGTTATATGTGCCTCTTCATATACCACGTTCTGATCTTCATCTTCCATCACGGAGAATTTATTGATTGCTTTCCTTCCCTTTGTTACAGCGTGAAAGTAGCTTGTGTTTTTGTCACCCAGGGCTAGCCACATCTGCCGGCTCCGTTGCTTCCAAATTGAAAAATGATACTAAACTTAAAAAAAAATGACACTAAAAAATAGTTCTCTTGTAGTGGTATCCTAATAAATTCAAAACAATTATTTGAGTTAGTTAGTTTCAAACCCTAGCTTTAGTTGTAACGCCAACACATCACCTCCAAGTACATCTTATTTTGAAAAAAAAAACAAAAGTAACTATACAAAAAAAGAACAAAGTTTATCTCTCCTAAAAGGCGACAAAAAGGCAATCTGGTTTTCCTCCATCCGTCGCCAGGGACGAAGCCTCACGCTCGTCGTTGAGAATCCTCCTCCTCTCTTCTTACCTCAAAATGGCCGCTGGGCCCTCTCTCCATCCCTCAGATGTTCCTCCAGACTTACTCTTCCTCTGTCACTCGCCTCCTCTCATCCCCTCTTCACTCAGCCCTCCCTTGGGTCTTTCGCCCCCAGATCCGATAGCTTCCTCGCCGCCGTCTGTCGATCTGGCTTCTTCACTTCCAAAGGTTACCCCTGAGGTTCAAAAGCCTCTCTTGGCTTCATCGGCTTCACAGTTCAAATCTCCCTTCAAGAACTTGACAAAGATAGGTTCTGCGTCACCTTCGTCAGATGGTATCCCCGAGATCCAAGCTCCCAATTCCATTACCCTAAGCTCATCTCAAAAATGGAAGAATCACATTGTGGCTTATTTCCATGGGACTCCTCCTTCTCCAGCAAAAATATTCTCAAATCTAAATCCGATTTGGGGTATTAAATGTCGCATTTCAATTAAGTATCACTTTCCTTGTGTTTACTTGATCTTAATCCCTTGTATTGACACATTGAATTGGGTCCTGGATGTTGGTTTTTGGCATACGGGGACCTGCTCTATTACGGTGTCTCCTTGGACCTCATTATCAAACATAGATGAAGCTAGTTCATGCTCCGGTTGGGTTTTATTTCGACAAGTACCTCGGGAACTCTGGTCTGAAGTGGGCTTCAGCACCATCACTTCAGATGTGTGAATCCCTCTCCATTCGGAATTTCCCATTATGAAACCTTATTCCAAGGGTGTGGTCAAACAGAAGGTAGTAGTTGAATTGGCTAAGAAACGCTCCAATGCTGTTAGGATAACAGATAAGCTCGGGGATTCAGCTATTGTTCTGGCGGAAATTCAAAAACTTCCTCCCAAGTGTGAAAACTGTGGAGAATTTGGGAACCTTGTTCTTCGCTGTCCTTTACACCCCCTTCCTGCTATCTCCAAGGCATCTAAGGCCAAAGAACTCGCTGCATCAGTTCCAGCTATTCCACTCTCGTCACCTTAAGTCCATTCGGTAGTGGAAGTTGATGCTCTTGTACTTGTGGAAGTGGAAGCTCCTGCAATTGTGGATTGTGGAGTTCCTGCAATTGTGAAGGTTGGTTCCTCATCTTGCTCCCCTGGTCGTTCCGAATCCCTTCGTTTTTTATCCTCATCACTGGAGGAGGAGGTTTTTCCATCTCCAAAACATGTAGCCAGAAGATCGCTTCCCCCACCTAGTTTGACGTCAGCCTTAGACAATGCTCGTCTAGCTTCACCGGTCACTTCAGATCAGTTCTTAGAAGAAGAGAGCATTAATAGTAATGGTCAAGTTGTGCTCCGGAACAGGTTTAAGCTTCTAAAATCAGAAGACGCGCTTACTTTACGACCACCTGTCACTAAGAAGCACTTGAGGAAAATTCAGCATCAGCAGGGTCTTCAGCCTCGGATAGACAGGGTTCGCTCACGGATTTGCTCGTAGACGGCAAGACAATTGTCTTTTGCAGCTTATTCAATTGGTCATTTATAGTCTCATTAGTTTCTGGGAGCGACTTTTCCTCTACCAAAACGCTGCTTGGATCTACTAGAGAAACTGTATAACTCCTATCTTTGGAATGGGTCGGCGGAGTCTGTTCGTGGAGAAAAGGTTTCTTGGGACTCGGTATGTACTCCCAAAAGCTGTTGATGTTAATTGAGTTTAGTCTTGTATAAGTTAGGATAATGTGTGTGAGTTATTATAATGTTTGTATTAAACGATGTCTTTGTAAAGTTGTGTCTCTTGTTTAGGTCGTGTTTACACAAGAGAGTCACAACTCTTTGTCTTAGTCGTAACTGTTAGTTGTGTTGTGTTTTAGTATTTAACTAGTAGAGTACCCGCACGTTTGTGCGGTGTGACGTTGTTGTTTTGTGTAGAAAATTTAAACCCTAAATCCGAACCCGACAAAAAACCCTAATCAAAAAATTTAAAAACCCAAACTTTTTTAATAGGTCTAAACATGAAAATCCGAAATCAAAAAAATCCCGAAAACCCTGACTGAACAAAAAAAATCTGGAAACTTTTTCACCCGGAACCCGACCCCAATACCTAATCAAAATTTTAAAATACTCAATTTTTTAATATATCTAAACCCGAAAACCAGAAATCTAAAAAATCCGGAAAACCCTAAACTGAAAAAAAAAATTGAACCTAACCCGAACAGAAATTTTCAAAGAAACCCGAACAATTTCTATATATCTCTATAAAATTATGTCTCAGATTTTCACCCAAACCCGAACTTGTCTATAAAAACCCGAAAATCCAAAAAGCATATTCTATTGATTTGGAATTATCGTTAGATTATGTTAAGTTTTCTTTTTTGCAGATTTTTAAGAGATGGAAAACGGAAGTTTTCTAAACCATCGGTTTATTTTAAGTTATTATTCTTGTATCCAAACAATTTTTTCCATTTATTCTTCTATCCAAATAGATTTTTCTCTTATTCTTATATCCAAACAACTTTTGTTTCCATTTATTCTTCTATCCAAATAGATGTTTCTCTAATTCTTGTATCCAAACATTAGAATGTACTTCTCAATTAATAATATAAAGAATACAATTAATAATATAAAGATACAATTTCTGTTTACTCTGTTTTTGTCTCTTGTTGGATTCGTTGAAAAACAGAGCAACAAGCAAAACACTTGTTGTGTTTGTGTTCTTTTGAACAGACAAGTCCCTGTACTAACATGGTATCAGAGCCCTACTGATTCAAAGGGGCAAATTGGAGTACAAGTTCAAACGAACTCGTGAAGAGCGATGGAAGCAACATCGCATCAAGTGATTCCCATATTTGATGGTGGATAGATACGATTTCTGGCGTATCATGACAACCATCTTTAAGACCAGGAAGTTGTGGTCGGTGATTGAAGCCGGTGTTCCAGATCGACCAGTTGAGGGAGAGGAGACTCCCGCCGTGTTGCGCTTAAAAACTCAATGGGAGGAAGCGTCAACAAACGATATGATGGCGTTGCAAATTTTGCAGACAGCCGTGTCGGATCAAATTTTCTCTCGCATAGCACCAGCGAAAACATCAAAGGAGGCTTGGGATTCTCTGCAATCCGAATACCAAGGTTCTCCTCAAGTACGATTGATCAAACTTCAATCGCTAAGAAGAGAGTACGAAAATTTGAAGATGAACGACGGTGACAACATAAAGGTTTTTTACAGAGAAGTTAATTGATTTTGGAAATCAATTACGGGTTCATGGTGAAGAGAAGACGGATTATCACATTGTCCAGAAGATTCTCATATCTCTCCCAGCGAGATTTGACAGCATTGTGGCTGTGTTGGAGCAAACAAAGGATCTGAGTTTGCTGCCTGTGACAGATTTGCTGGGAACTCTTAAGGCACACGAGAAGCGTGTGGAAGTCCGAAACGAGAACATGACAGAAGGGGTGTTTTTTGCTAAATCAAGAGGAGGAGGCAAATCTGGGTTCAAAACAGACAACGACAAGGGTCATGGATCTCAAGGCAAAGGAAAGAGATGGTGTAAGTTCTGTAAGAAGGAAAATCACACCGAATCTCATTGCTTCAAGAAGTTGAAGACTCAAAACCAGGCGAAGATGGTGAATGGCTTACCAAGTTTCAAAGTGAATCAAGAAGTGTGTGGAGCATGTAAGCGTGGAAAGCAAGCAAGAGATGCTTTCCCAAAGGAATCTCAAACAAAAACAAAGGAGAAACTTGAGATTGTTCACACAGATGTTTGCGGACCGATGCAAACAATGTCACTTAACGGAAGCCGGTACTTCTTGTTGTTTGTTGATGATTACAGTCACGTGTGTTGGACATACTTTCTTAAAAACAAGTCAGAAGCATTTGGGGTGTTTAAGATGTATAAAGCCATGGTGGAAACTCAATCTGGAAGCAAGATAAAGGTGCTTCGATCTGATGGTGGTGGTGAATTCACATCGAGTGAATTCAATGAATTCTGCAACCAATGGGGAATCGAGAGGCAGATAACGGCTCCTTACTCACCTCAACAGAACGAAAGAACCGATCTCTAGTGGAGATGGCAAGAACAATGATTGTTGATCAGGGCCTTCCTCACAAGTTCTGGGCTGAGGCAGTGTATACATCAGCGTATCTGCAAAACCGTCTACCCAGTAAAGCTGTTGAAGATGATATCACACCGATTGAGAAGTGGAGTGATCAGAAACCAACAGTTGATCACTTGAAGATCTTTGGAAGTCTGTGTTTCGTTCATGTGCCTAAAGAGAAGAGAAGCAAGCTAGATGAGAAGGCAAGACGTGGGATCTTCATTGGTTATAGCAGCCAAACAAAAGGATACAGAGTGCTCATTCTAGAGAATGAAATGGTGGAGATATCTAGAGATGTAGCATTCGAAGAAGGAAAGCAGTCGGACTGGAAAAGACAGAGAGAAGTACAGAAGGTGTTTACTCTTCCCTTGAATGTCCTACAAGATCGAGATGTTGAAGAAAATCAACATCAAAACAACCACAGCCCTGTTTTGACTCAACCTGTTGATCAACATCACGATGAAGAAGAAGATGCTCAGACGTCATCTACACCACCAAAGAAGTACAAGTCCATGACTGAAATTATGTAAATCGCACCTATGGAGGATCTACAAGAAGCGGTGCCTGCATATGAAGCATGCTTTGTAGCATCAGAGGAGCCACAAAGCTATGATGAAGCCTCAGAGATAGAGGAATGGAGAAAGGCCATGGAAGAGGAGATCAAGATGATAGAGAAAAACAGAACATGGCGACTTGTGGAGAAACCAGAAAAGAAAAACATCATCAGTGTGAAGTGGATCTATCGCATTAAGACTAATGCAAATGGAGATCCAATCAAGCATAAAGCAAGGTTAGTCGCAAGAGGTTTTTCTCAAGAGTATGGTGTTGATTACCTTGAAACTTTTGCACCTGTTTCAAGACATGACACAATACGTGTCATACTTGCTCTTGCGGCACAAAAGAAGTGGCGGCTTTATCAAATGGATGTAAAATCCGCCTTCCTCAATGGAGAGCTCGAAGAGGAGATCTATGTTGCACAGCCGCCTGGTTTTGTAGTTGAAGGAGAAGAAGACAAGGTTCTGTTGCTCCGCAAGGCTCTGTATGGTTTGAAGCAAGCCCCTAGAGCTTGGTATGGAAGAATCGACTCATACTTTCTACAAAGTGGTTTCCAAAGAAGTATGAATGATGCAGCCCTGTATGTGATGAAGAAAGACAAGGATGTCTTGATCGTGAGTCTCTATGTGGACGACTTGGTGATTACAGGAAGCAGTTCTCAACTCATTGAAAGAAAGATTTAAGGAAGATAGGAAGAAGGAGTTTGAGATGACAGATTTGGGGCTGTTAAGTTATTTTCTTGGAATGGAGATAATTCAAGATGATCGTGGAATTTTCTTATCACAAGAAAAGTATGCCAACAAACTCATTGAGAAGTTTGGCATGAATGGAAGCAAGAGTGTAAGTTCTCCACTTACACCAAACGGCAAAAAGATAGAAGAAGATGGAGAGTACGGTGAACCAACAAAGTTCAGAAGCATTGTTGGTGGTCTGTTGTATATTTGTGCATCACGACCAGATGTGATGTTTGCAAGTTCTTATCTCTCACGATACATGTCTGCGCCGCTCATGAAGCATTATCAGGAAGCCAAGAGAGTCCTGAGATACATCAAAGGTACATCAAACTTTGGAGTTTTATTCACAAGTGTTGAAAGTCCAGAGTTGCTTGGCTACTCAGACAGCGATTGGGGTGGTTCGGTTGAAGACAAAAAGAGTACATCTGGGTATGTTTTTACTCTTGGATCAGGAATGTTTAGTTGGCAGTCAAATAAACAACAAACGGTGGCACAATCAACAGCAGAAGCAGAGTACATTGCGGTGTGTGCAGCAACAAATCAAGCAATCTGGTTGCAAAGGCTTCTCGAAGAACTTGGTTTCAAGTCTCAACATGGTGTCCCGATTTACTGCGATAACAAGTCTGCAATTGCAATTGGTAAGAATCCTGTGCAACACAGAAGAACTAAGCATATAGAGATCAAGTATCACTTTGTTCGAGAGGCTGAACACAAAGGCTTGATTCAACTCAAGTATTGCGAAGGAGAAGTTCAACTCGCAGATCTTCTAACAAAGGCACTTGGCGGGTCAAGGTTGGTTTCAAGTCTCAACATGGTGTCCCGATTTACTGCGATAACAAGTCTGCAATTGCAATTGGTAAGAATCCTGTGCAACACAGAAGAACTAAGCATATAGAGATCAAGTATCACTTTGTTCGAGAGGCTGAACACAAAGGCTTGATTCAACTCAAGTATTGCGAAGGAGAAGTTCAACTCGCAGATCTTCTAACAAAGGCACTTGGCGGGTCAAGGTTTGAAGAACTACGAAGGAAGCTTGGAGTGAGACCGAAACTCAATTAAGGAGGAGTGTTGATGTTAATTGAGTTTAGTCTTGTATAAGTTAGGATAATGTGTGTGAGTTATTATAATGTTTGTATTAAACGATGTCTTTGTAAAGTTGTGTCTCTTGTTTAGGTCGTGTTTACACAAAGAGAGTCACAACTCTTTGTCTTAGTCGTAACTGTTAGTTGTGTTGTGTTTTAGTATTTAATACACTATAACGTGATGTAAAACATATGTTCGATTTTATTCAATAAAGATACAATTTCTGTTTACTCTGTTTTTGTCTCTTGTTGGATTCGTTGAAAAACAGAGCAACAAGCAAAACACTTGTTGTGTTTGTGTTCTTTTGAACAGACAAGTCCCTGTTCTAACAAAAGCTCGGGAGGTCTTGGTTTGCGTAGACTAGAGAACTTGAGCCAATTTTTCATTTTAAAGTTGATTGGTTGATGTTCTCTTCTAAGGGGATCTCTGTGGGTAGCCTGGATTAAAACAAATGTTCTAAGGGGTCAGTTGTTTTGGTCTCCTTCTCTTCAAATTCTGGAAGCTGGATTTGGAGGAAAATTTTGAAGGTGCGTGCTCTAGCTAGGCCACATCTCTTCTGCAAAGTGAATTCAGGGTCCACGGCCTTGTTTTGCCATGATGATTGGACATCTCTAGGGCCTCTGGTCCTAGAGTTTCTGGAATTCAGAAGATGTCTTCGGTAAAGCAAGCATGTCAAGGAGTTTCTTGGTCTATCACCAGAGGAAGACATTCAATTCTAAGGCTGCTTAAAGACTGTTTGCCTCCGGAGCTCCCTGCTACACTAAATGGCGACCATGATATTGTTCTTTGGAGAAACTCTCAAGATTCTCCGCCTGGCGTTTTCTCGGCTTCAGCATTGTGGGACTCGCACCATCCGACTCCACCTTCTCTTTCTTGGACTAAATCCGTTTGGTTTAAGGATCGCATTCCCAAGCATGCCTTCATCCTCTCGATTGTCATGAGGGACCGGCTTCTAACTAGAGATCGGTTGAGATCTTGGGGCATTGCCGTTCCTGATAATTGCCTTCTCTGTGATGTTTCGCCTGAAACAAGGAGTCATCTTCTCACCGACTGTGCCTTCACAACAGAAATTTGGAGAAGTTTCTTTGCACATCTGGTCTTTAGGATGCCTCATTCAATTGATGACATTGTTCTTTGGTGTCATTCATCAATGGGAAATGGGAAAGTAAACTCGATCTGCTTGCTCTTGGTTCAGACAATTGTTTACTGCTTATGGAGGGAGAGAAATGCGAGACTCCATGCTTCGGCGGATAAGCCAGTTCATGTCCTGATTAAGGAAATCAATCTTCTTCTTACAGAAAAACTGTTCGTGATGGATCGCTCAACAGCTCTTCGTGCTCCTTCAGTAAATTCCACTGCTGCATCACAACAAAACTCTTACCTATACACCTGGTTCCAATTCTTCCAACATTAATCCTTTAAGTTCCTTCTCGGATTAATTGTTTTTGCTGCGAAAATTGTTGCTTCAAATGAGTTTTTAAATTTTTATCTATTTGTTCATCTTCTCTGGCTTTTTGTAAACTTTCGCCCTTTTGGGGTTTATGAGATAAATAAAGTAAGTTTAATTAAAAAAAAAACTATATCATATTCTTCTATTACGTACAAGCTATTATGGTGATGATTGGTTTCCACGCTACCACCCGCAAACGCAAACGCAGCGGTTAGTAGCGGTTACTGGCGTTTTATAACAATCACAACAACCACTGGTTTAAGCGATCAAGCATTGAGAATTAACTGGAATCAAATCCAAATCAAAGATAGAACGTGGAGACATCTAATTAATGAGTAAAGAGATACATTAGAATAATATCGATTTGTTTTTTTTTCTAGGTTCTCATCTCAATTCTTGTTTTCTGAATTTCTGAAACTTACAGATTGTGAAATTTTGCATTTTAGGTTGTGATGGATAGGCCGTGGATAAACAAGCCACATTTATTTCAGGATTACAAATTAGGATTGAAACGTGTTTTGGATTTTGCATTTGGTAATTCAATTGCATTGGTGATGAAATGTCCATGTAACTGTTGTACTCTATCGAAATCTAAGTCAAAAGAATATCTCGAATGTGTTCTAATGTCCTTTGGGTTTTTAAGTACTTACACAAGTTGGGTACTGCACGGTGAGGATATATGTGTCACAGGGAATGCAAACCTACCTACTGATATTGCTCAAGTTGAATTGGAATCAACTATAAATCTCTTACGTGATCTTTTTCCTGATATTGATATGCATCGTGGAGATGGACCTGGATTGTGTGAGCACCCTATAGGTACTAATAGACATAAACAACAGTAAAGTCATAGAACTTGAAGCAAATGAGTCCTCAAGGTAGGATGACAGCGAATCCGTAGCCAAGCTCTGATACATCGATAGAACTTTCACGTCATAGCCGGAATGTTAATACTTGGTCACTTTGCCATGGTGCTTGATTGCTGAAAGCAGCATTTACACATGCCAAACAGTCAGATTCATTTAATGACATGGAAAAAGTTATTCGCAAATTAGGAAACAGTTATAAGTCGATTCATGCATGTCCAAATGATTGTATGTTATATTGGGAAGCAGATGCAGAAAGAGATGTTTGCAAAGTTTGTAAAGCATCTCGTTGGAAAGTTTCTGAAAAGAGTACAATCTCTAGATCAGAGAATGGAACAAAGAAAGCTCCTGCAAAGGTTTTGCGTTATTTTCCTCTAAAATCATGACTACAGCGTTTATTCATGTCATTAAAAACTGCTTACACACATGACATGTATGCGACTGGTAGTAACAATGATGGTAAGCTTCGACATCCAAGAGACGGATGGGCTTGGAAGGCACTTGATCAAAAATATCCTGAATTTGCATTTGATCAAGAAATGTCAGACTAGGCTTGGCGACTGACGGTTTTAACCCGTTTGGTACAATGAGTAGTAGTTACAACATATGGCCAGTTGTACTATTTTCTTATAATTTTCCACAGTGGATGTCAATGAAGCAGACATCAATGATCCTATCTATTGTTATCCCTGGAAAGCACATGCATGGGAATGATATTGATGTCTACTTGCAACCACTTATCAAAGAGTTGAAAGAGTTATCGTTTAATGGGATTGAAACGCTAGAATCCTTCAGAAAACAAAGGTTTAACATGCGAGCAGCCAACATGTGGACGGTAAGTGATTTTCCGGGTCTTGGAAATTTGTCGAGGTGGAATACGTGTAGGACATTAACTTGTCCAAGCTGCAATTATGATGGCATCGGACAAGATTTACGCCATGGGAAAAAAAAATTATTGGCTATCATTGTATTTTTATCCTCAAGATCATCACTTTCGTCAAAATAAAACTAATTTTGACGGAAAAGTTGAAACCAGAGCTCCATCAGGTAATTGTCAGGATCTAGAGTTATTAATCAGCTAGAACAAGTTAGTGTTTCTCTTGGTAAGAAACGTGGGTTAGTTGGAGTTGGAAAAAAGAGGGGCTCCAAAGTGTTGCTGAAAGTTCTCGCATGTTGAGAATGAGAACTGAGAAGTATCAAGCAGCATGTTTTACTCTGAACAGGGAAAGGAAAGACAGAATGTAAGACTCCCTGATGGTTAACCTAAAACTGAGCTACCTAATCTAAGCACACAAACAATTTAAAAAAAAAATTATACCATAAAAACAAATAAAGGAAATATTAAACAACTACCACACAAGAATTACCTCATTTTCTGTTTAGTTAGACTTTGGTCACAATATCTCTCCTCTTTTACAACGATAAGAGCCCAAATTAACAACCCCAGAAGCACGATAAAAAAATAGTAGAAAAAAAAAAAAAAATCTTCTCATAAACAACATGAACAAAATTCACATCAGATTAACATGATATTTGAGCTGAAGAGGGCTCCTTTGGAATTGCTCAATCTCGACCGTTTAGCTCGTATAAAGTATGGCTTAGCTTTCTTGGCTGTAAACTTTTCTGCAAAAATATAAATGAAACAATAAAAAGTAGATGAAGAAACAATCACTGGCGCTTTTTTATTCTTTTTTTTCAGAATGTAACTCCGTACAATAACTTAGGCCTTTTAACAAAAAAATTTAGTACAATAACCTTTTTTAATTACTATTACATTTATGTAAATGAGAGATTAAAAATTATTACAATACGAGTTAGTACGTCCGCGGACATGAGTTGTTTTAAAAATAAAAACATTTATAAACTAAAATAATATTTTTCGTATTCAAAACATCAAGGGTTTATAATGTAGGGTTTTCATATGATATTTTAAGAATATGCAATGTTTTTATTTATTCTATATGATTTGAACAAAAGAGTAAACAATTTAGTTGTTTTGCTATTTTCCTTTTGATTAGAATTTTCAAGAAATAAGAATTTATTTTTTCATTAGAATATCTCAAGAACTAAGAATTAAAAAAAATGCACAAAAAACTAAAACCCTACACCCACCAGTATAACCCTACCTTCTAAACCCTAACCCTACAATAAACACACCACCCCCACCCATCCATACAGTACACCATAACCATATAATAGACAACTCTTTTCAATTTTTTCTTATTAATTTCTTTTGCTTAATTTGGTGTAGTTGTTGTTGTTGGACAAAATTTCATATGATATTTTAAGAATACAAAATATTTTTATTTAGTCAATATGATTTGAACAAAATATTAAATGTCATTTTATGCTCATGTAATTGTTTATGGTAAAGGTGTTTCTAAATCTCTCATGTAACAACAACAATTACAAATCAAAATTTTCATTTTATTTTTCCGGTTTTTCTTCTTCCTCATTCCTCCTCTCTCTATCTTTATCATCTTCGTCTTCTCTTGTATCATTCCATTCTCTTGTATCAATCTCTCCTCCTCTCTCTCTCTCTTTGTCTTTTTTCTTCACATTCCATTTATCTTATTTTATTTCTTTTTCATCATGCTTTAGTTTTCTTCGTCTTCTTTTCTTTTACTCGTGTTTTTATTCGTCTTTGTCTATGTTTTGTATTTCACCTATCAATTCATTCAATAATTTAGATTTTCAAGGATTTGCAAAATAGTTTTTATCGTTATATAGTCGAGATCTTTTAAAAATCTATTGATTTTGTTATCTTTCGATTCTGAATTTGCTTTAACTGTTTTAGTTTTTTTCTATTTGTGAATGTTATTCAGAAAAGTAGATTAATTTATAATCAATGAATTTTAATTTTGATATTCTTCCATAATAATTCAATTTTTTTTTAAATGCACCAAAAACTAAACCCTACACCCATCAATATAAACCCTACCTAAATCCACTATATAACACCACCACCCCCACTCCACCCACCCTCCCCCTAAACAACCATACACCCTAAACCCTAACCATATTATAACTCCCTGCTCCGCCCCGCCTCATCCCGTCCCCTAAACAGTACACCATAACACCACACTACACACTTATCCTCGATTGCTTTTTTTTGTTTTAGTTTTTTTTAGAGAAGTTATCGTTGTTTTTATTTTAAATCAGCAATGTTAAGGTTAGATTTATAAAGAAAAGATGAATAATATATATATTTATTTGTTATAGTTTGTGGACTCATGGCGCATTATATATTATTATAAATAAATCTTTAAACACCAAAGCACCATTATTTTTGGTTCAAAGTATGACAACATATTGAGAACATTAAACATTAAAAAATAAATAATAATATATCTCGAAGCATCATAGCGTATCAAGTATCAATAATTAAACACCAATACACTGTGTTTTTTGTTTCTTCTTATCTTTCGATTTATCATCTTCTTGTTCTTGTATTTTGCTCTTCTTTTCCTCTTTTATCTACTCTAGTGTCTTCATATGCTTTATTCTTCTCATTTCTCTTTATATTTTTGTTTCGAGTTTTATTCTTTATTGATTACACCTGTAATATCCCGGTTTGTGATAAATGAGGAGAGGCTTAAGAGAATTAATTTGGCTACCTATGTCAACAAAGTGCACTTACCTTTTCGGTCAAATGTCTATAAGTAACTCCAGAGTTAAGCGTGTTTGGGCTGGAGTAATTGAAGGATGGGTGACCTTTCGGGAAGTGATTTCCGAAACCGTATGAATGAGGCCAAAACACGGGGAAAGGTTGGGTGTTGATTGCAAGGATAGTAAACAAGCCAATAGAGCCTCTAAAAAATAACGGACCGGCCGTCGGACAGGGGTGAGGCCCACGGGCCGAGATGGGCATGCGGGTCCAAAGAGAGGGCATGAGTGACTCACCGGGAGGGGCGGTCGGGGCGTTATAATTTGGTATCAGAGCTAAACTCAGACGAGAATGTGGAGTCAAGTTGAAGATAAGATAATAATAACTCTATTTAATAAGGAAATAATGAACTTTTATATAGAAAAAACAAAATCGTGAAATAATTAAAAAAAGAAATTCATAAGATTTAATAATAGATTTTCATTAAGGAT